TTTGGCCCGTTGGGTTTGAAGTCCTAAGGGAAAGATCCACCAAAAAGGGGGTCTGGAAGTTGTTGTGGAAGGCGACTTGGGTGGACCAATTGACCGTGGACCAAGTGACTGTTCTGATCAATTCTTATCCTCTTTTCTTGGTTCAGATATATATATATATATATCACCACCCAGTTTCTTGCTAGGCAGGGCAAGTTCCTCGGGCGCCTTGATTGGTGTTTTAGATGAACTCAGTGTTGCCTGGCAGTTCATGTCCACTCTACCCTTCCACGAACATGACCCAAGTAGCAGCTGAATCAGGTCTAACAACCTCATCGCTTCGTGCCACACGACCTGCGACGCGACGTGGGACGCGTACTCTCGATGTCCCCGCTGCCGGTTTGCTCGCCGGACCCATCGGACCCCGCGAGTTGAATGAAGTGGCGCGAGGCGCGGCGAAAGCGCACGCGAAAACACCAGATGCTCAACAGATCGGCACCGAAATCGGGGATCACCTGGCAGGTGAGACCCTACACTGATCTCCATCTTCCCCTACCCGGAAGAAGAAAGCGCTGTAGTCAACTCTGGTAGGTTGACCTATGCCGCGAGCTCCGTTGCTTCGGGCCGGTCTGGGCCAGGCAGTCACGGCCGTTCCACTGCATCGTCATCCGATGCGACGTAAGCCGTTCATCCGAAGGCGGTTCGTGGTTCCCGAAGCCTGTCCAACAACCAACAACCTCTCCAAGCAGATCTTCATGGACCATCCGATCCTCCGGTCCGGTCAACTTGGAGCCGAAGGCGGTCCACTTTGGAGCCGAGTTTCGGGCGGGTCCGCGTTGTCCCAGCCCAACGGACCGCAAACACGGTCCGTGTGGACATTTTGGGAATACTAGATCTCTATAGCAAGAGCTATAGCAAGATGTGTTTTGGGACTTCATTGTTTTACTTACATCTTCATTTCTCGATTACAGCGGCAACCCAGTCCAACGGTCCAATGCACAACGGTCAACAGACTGGTCAACAGAGGCAGCTCAGCTCGACTCTTCTCCGTTCCGTGCCGTGGGTTCCGCGCCTCGGTTCGAGGCGGCGAGCTGATCCCATGTGGCGCGTGGGGCAGCCTGGGAATGAGGTGAATGAGGTGAAGATGAGGTGAATCAGTCAGTCAGTCAGTCAGTCTTCAGAAATGAAGCATAAAACAGTCAGTCTTCTTATGGCCTGCAGGGAGTGCTTTTGGTGAACAACCAATCTGAATAATCTCTGCATGAATACATCTCTTGGAAGGGGATGCCTTCCATGTGGGGTGCGTTTGCCACTTCCATGGTCCATGTGTTCGTGGGAAGAAGTAGCACACGACGGGCGGAGGTTCCTCTCGCTTGGGCGGAGCTTCGGAGTGACGGAGTGACTTTGGGCGGCAACTTCTCCGGATTGGTTCAGAACCACTAGGGCCCTCCAACAGGTCTCCGTGGCTGTACGGCTGTACTGCAGACATCAAGGTCGCAGGCGGCTTTTGGGTGCGAAGGCTGCAGTCATGACATGAGTATCCATGTCCAAGTGGCCAAATGTACACCCATCAGCTTCTTGTTTCAGCTCTGCACAGCAGAATGGTGTGGGCCACACGTTGCTGGAGGGCTTGCCACGTCCAATCATCCAACCTCTTCGTGGTTGGTTCTGTCCAAAGAAGAATCGCCATGTGGCGCATTGTGGCGCCTTTTTGGATCCCCAAGAAACTACCGCCCAAACCCGAACTCGTCCCAACATGTAAAGATCCAGGTCTTCTTCCGTTACACCGTCCCAACGGCCTGCGAACCGGAACCCGTGTGACTCGCAGAGAATGAGTGAATGAACCCCTGGTAGGTGTCTCCAAATCCATTCTCCTTCCTTACTCAATGACCAAATGGATTTGGAGATTGTCATTATGTCATTAATCATTCCCTACAAGTCCAAAGATCCAGTAAAACCTCATCCTTTACCTGCTTGAGTCGTGTTTTTGTATGACCACGTCCAGTAAAATGAGGTCTTTGACTTGCAGGGATTCTCCTTCTTCCATGTACGCCAGATATGCCGCCGAGAAACGGCCAGGGGTGGTGCCAGGGGGGTCTGACTCTGCGGCGGCAGAACTATGTCAATCCCATTAGTCGTGTACCAGGACACCCTAAGGGGCTTCTATTGATAGCCCCTTAGATGTTAAGGGGTGTCCATTAACCACCCCTTGTGGGTCCTGGTATGGAAGAGGGAGACACCCCAAAACTCACACCCTCTCGCCCCGTGGGTGGGTAGACGCGCATCGATGATCGGTTACTCAACACTCAAAACACTCGATCATACGTCGTCCAGGTTCGCCGATTTGAGGCACCACCCGGTCGTGTTCAGTGTCAGTTCCTGAACTCACTCGCATCACCGAACTCGTCAGACCGTTTTCAAGTCATGGTCGACTGGACGAAACGAGTCCTTTACTTGGCCAGACTCCTGGGGGAATTCGACCTGTTCCACAGTGCCATTTCGGCAGGGTTTCGACCATTTCGGCGATGTCGGCCATTTCTAGGCTTCCCAGGCAAATACTATACGACACGACATCCGGACTGGCATCTGCTCCATACACTGATCCCTTTTCAAATCAACCACCCCGGAAGCCGTTTCTGGGTCCCATGTGTCGTGTCCACCGCTCCACCGAGGCGCTGCTGGGACTCGCCGCACTCGCCGGAGCGAAGCAGGCGAGTCAGCGCGAAAGGGTGAATGCCGGTGACGGGGGCGCGAACCGGGTGAACCGGGTGTGTCACCGTGGGGTGTGTGGTGTTTTTGGGTGCAGCTTTCGGGTCCTGTTTGGTACGAAAAACCATGAAAAACCCTATGGAGACACTGAATGGGACCTTTGAGCTGAGTGGGAACTCTGGTACCCTGGTTCAACCAGTTCCGGAAAGCACCAAGCGTTCGAAGCGTCTGCTTGGTGCGTTTGGATTTGGTGCCAGACAGGGCCGCTGCCTCAAAGCACGAAGACAAGGACCTCCAACGTAAACCAACCAGGACCCTCCTGGCCAGGCTGTTTCGAGACCCGACCACAGGCGGCGAACCTGGGCACCGGACACACTTGTTGGAGGGTCGGACGGAAGAAAGCTTCCAGTTTTCGCAGAGCCCTTGGATCACTATTTCGTAGACCAGTCATGACCCGTCCAGCAACATGTCTAGTAGCTGATTGATCAAAGAAGCCAATGACTATTGTGCATGAAGTGAATCCAGAATGCTCTGCAAGGCTAGGTTTTTCAAGCAGGCAGGCAGCCGATTAGACAGACAGACAGAACCACAGTTACGGCTTCAGTGTTGCCAAGTGGCGAGTTACGGTGAAACCGTGAAACAGTGTATTCACCCTTTGAGACGGACGCAAGTCAGTCTCGCGTGGCATACGCGCCGTGGCGCGCGAGCCATGGTGAGGACACTTTCAGCGGTGCTGCCCAGTGGCGAAGTCAGGGCTATTGAAGTGATTCCAGAGATGACAGGCCTGGAGCTGAAGCAGAAGATCAAGGAGGGACAGCTGAGTTGGGATGAGCTTACTCACAAGACTACGGCTGTGGAGATCATCGTGGAAGACAACAGTTTGTTGGCCAATGATGCGAAAGTGTTGGATGTAGCATTCGCTGAAGAAGAGACAGTCTTTGTGAGTGTAGTCTTCAAACCCAACGTAGTGGTATGCTCATCCAAACAAGAGGCGGTTGCCAGTTCTGGCGGTGTCATTGACTCGGAACTGTTGCTAGTCGTTGAAATCCCAAGTGATGAAACTCAGATTCAAGAGCATGCGTTCTGCAATTGCCAGACATTGGCCAAGTTGACTATCCCGAACTCTGTAACTCACATAGGGAACAGTGCCTTTGAAAAATGCAACTCGTTGGTCAACTTGACCATCCCGGACTCAGTGACCCAAATTGGCCACAGTGCCTTTGCAAATTGCAGCTCTTTGGTGAGCTTGACAATCCCAGACTCCGTCACCCACATTGGGCGCTATGCCTTTGCCACGTGCCGCTCTTTGGTGAACTTGACCATCCCAGACTCAGTGATTTACATTGGGTTTTGTGCCTTTCGGCAGTGCAGCTCGTTGGTAAACGTGACCATGTCAAACTCGGTGACACAAATTGGTTTTGGTGTGTTTGCGGAGTGCCGCTCTTTGACAAACTTGACAATTCCAAACTCAGTGACCCTCATTGCGGGTTGTGCCTTTCTGAATTGTCGCTCTTTGGCGAAGTTGACCATCCCGAACTCGGTGACCCGGTTTGGGCATGCTGCCTTTGCGCGTTGCACATCCTTGAGAAAGCTGATCATCCCGAACTCTGTGACCCACATTGGGGAGGAGGCTTTTCAGAATTGCCACAGATTGGTGAGGTTAACCATCCCCAACTCTGTCACACACGTTGGGATGCGTGCCTTTGTAGGGTGCCATTCTTTGGTGCTTCAAGTGTCGTTCCTGCGGCAGCTTGAAAAGTGTCATAGCCGACGAGCGTTGCTCAGACAAGTTTCTACTAGTTCTTCTGACTGGAGCGCACCATAGTGCCAACCATCCACACCACGCGTGCAGCAAATCATCAGGAACCGTCCCACACCGTCCGTGCTGCACAAACGGTCGTAGCGAGTTTTCCGCTGGTCATGGAAAGGCTGGGGACCGAATGGTTTCATGTCGAGTACGGCGCGCCTCAGCGCTTCCGGCGGAAAAAGAAGGCCCATTAGGATTCTGCAGTTCATGAACTTGAGAGTCACGAACATGAAGGTACATGTGAGTTCATGCTTCCACTTCCCGGTCACCTCTCGGCCCAATAAGGGGCCCCTTGCTTGCCATTCACTGGCTGCCATGGAGTGAGAAAAGGTCCGCATCGGTGGATCGAGGTTCGGTTGCTGTTGAGTCGGCATATCCATTGGTTTGCACTACATTGAGCATTGAGGTACACCCTTTTGTTGCTGGTTGTGTTGCTACATTGGTTGTACATGCTACCAGTGCACACCAACTGCACTGGTAGCGGAGCAGAGTTAGCTCCGGGGTCATGGCGGACGTCAAGGATCGGCTGAATGAGGTGCCTAGCCGGGACGGTTCCTCGAAGACTTGGCGCCGCTATTGCAAAGAAGTTGGATGGCATCTTTCTGGAACGAAGAGTTCCCAACGGAAGTACGTCGCTGCCAAACTGATCAGTCGGTTGTCGGGTGCCGCTCGCCTCCTTTCCATGTCCTGGCACCAAAGGGATTTTGAAGGTGAAGAAGGAGTTCAAGTCATGTTGAGGCGTTTCGCCTCTTCCCCCTTGGTGAGGCGCAGCCTCCCCAATAATGCGGCTGCGACGATGTCATCCTATTTCATGTTCCAACGACGGCCTGGAGAAAGCATTGCACAATTCCTTGTGAGGGAAACATTAGGCTTTGAGGAATTCCAGGAGGCCTTGCTACAACTCAAAGAGGAGAAAGACGGAATCTCCCCTGCTGATCGTTTGTTTGAGTTGCCTGAGATCACCACCTCCGAGACAGACAAAGGTGAACGCTATTACAACCCTTGGCATCGAGATCAACGCTGGCGTGATTGGGAGGAAACCCCTTTTGAAGAGCAGGTTGAACAAGCAGTTGATGCCCCAGAGGGTTATACAGCAGTTCCCCAAACATCCGATGCAGGTGAGGAAGCAGCTCCTCACTCACCGGCGGGGTCGCCGAACCGGACTCGTCAAACACAAAGGAGCCCTTCCCGCAAGACAGAGCAACAGAGGATGATTGATGGTTTGGGTCCTATGGATTCCTTTATATTAGATGTTTTGCGTGGCTGGAGACTACTTGTTGCAGCAAGCCTTACAAATGATGAATGGAGAGACATCCTAGCTAGCACTGGCAACAAGCTCGACTATCCAGCCATCGCTGAGGCTCTTCAGACCCTATGGGATGAACAGCTCAATCATCATCATGGAGCATCCAAAGGTACAGTGTTGCAACAACATTGGGTTGAGACCGCGGATCCTTGGTACAATGCTGCGTGGCACGAGTCCTCGTGGGACACTGAGGATTGGCATGAGTCGGATTGGCACTCCATGGACCAATTTGGTGCGTGGCCTCAAGCTGTCAACGACCCAGTGGATAACACTGCAACCACTGATGATGACCCTGAACTCCAAGAAGCTTTGGAGGCTGAGAAGGCCGCAGAGGCCTTGGCAGTTGAAGCTCGTCGAACCTGGTCGCAAGCTCAGCAGGCTACAACAGCCCTTCGACGTGACCGTGGTTTTGGACAGTTTGCTGGAACCTCATCCTCCAAAGGTGGCAAGGGACCCATCCGCTGTCACATTTGTTCAGGTCCTCATTTTGCTCGTTATTGCCCTGACCGTCAACACCCACAGTACCGCAAGGGTGGTGGAAAGCAGTTGAGTCCAGCTGAGCTGGACGCCTACCTCTTCAAGGGCAAGGGGAAAGGCATGCGAAAAGGGAAGGATCAAATGATGTCCTCATGGGACGATTCCTACATGGCGCCTTGGGATGTGATGTACACCCAGAAGGGCAAGAACAAGAATGCTGGTAAGGGCGGAAAGCTTCGTTCCACTGTCAATGTCTATGGCATGGACTATGGTGGGATGGATTTTAGCATGATGGAGCTCCACACGCTTGAGTTCCATGAGACGATGGAAGCAGTTCCCTTGGAGCTCTACACCTCCAATGAGACTCCAGCTCCTCGAGCCATCCCCGAAGGATTTGGCATGTTGGATTGCGGGGCTACGGCCTCGGCTGGACCCGAAGCTTCTGTCAAAAAGTTGATTGCCAAGCTGCGTGAAAGTGATCCACAGTTGAAGGTCACCATTGATGTGGAACGAAGACCCTTTTTCAGGTATGGTTCAGGTCGTTGGGGACAAGCCATGTACTTTGCCTCCATCAGCGCCTCCACGAACCCCAACAAGTCCTTTGAGGTGTTTGCCCTGCCGAATCCCACGGAGTATTACCAGAAGTCCTTCAAAGACTATATGCTGGTCCCAATTCTTGTCGGTATGGATTTCCTCACCAAGGTCGGCCTGATTCTGGATTTCCAAGATGGTCATGCAGTGTTTGGTATCAGAAGGACGCTAAGTTTGGGAGGTGTCTTGTGGTGGATCAACAGTTTTACATTGAAATGTTGCAGGACGTTGATGTGCACCCCAAACGGATCATCCACCATGGCTCCCAAGGAGATTGCGGCCTGTCGGACATCACTTGGTGCCTTGCAGTGGTTGGCGGTCCAGTCACAACCGCTGATCACTGCTCGCTGCAATTTGCTCATTACTGAGCTTTCCACGGATCCCAAGATCCAGATTGCCCAGGAGCTACAAGAGATGATTCGGGAGCTGCGCAAAGAAGGATCAACATTGAAGTTTTTCAAGTTGCCTGGCGTCCGTCGTTGGACGGATTTGTGTGTGGTTGGCCTGGGGGACCAGGCACACAACAACAGACCCCGGAGGGTCGACGGGAGGCATGACAGTTTTCCTGTCAGGCCCCGTCAGCCCTCAAGGGCGTCCCAAGACGCCCTCAAGGGCGTCCCAACGCCAATGTGTTTGGTGGCTTGGCGCAGCTGGAAGCTGAAACGGGTGGCGATCGGCACCAACGATGCCGAAATGCAGGCGATTGTTGAAACAGAGGATGTGGTCTATAGAACCAGGCTGCTATGAGCAGGTATGCAAGGCACCGGCTCCATCTTCAAAGGCCGGGACTTGCTGAGTGTCGCGGACTCTCAGGTCCGGTTGGTCCCCGGTGTGTTCGGGACCGATTCGAAAGGAGGGTTCGACTCGGTCATGGTGAATGAATCACCACTGCTGGGGTTGTCGAACATGCGCGCTGCCATTCAAGCGTACCAATTGAAGCAGGCCATTCGACTCTGTCACACCAAGTTGATTTGGCTTGCGAGCGACTGGAACTTAGGTGAGCCTGACCTTCTTTTTGCGCCACCGCACTTGGCAGCTCAAGTTCGATCCGAACTTCATCGTTTCGGCCAAGAAGCAGCGACAAGCTTCGAGGACCACACCTTCTCAGGTGATCGGCAGGAGGATCATGAACTCAAAAGAAAATCTTGGAGATGCAGTTCATGAACTTGAGAGTCACGAACATGAAGGTACATGTGAGTTCACGCTTCCACTTCCCGGTCACCTCTCGGCCCAATAAGGGGCCCCTTGCTTGCCATTCACTGGCTGCCATGGAGTGAGAAAAGGTCCGCATCGGTGGATCGAGGTTCGGTTGCTGTTGAGTCGGCATATCCATTGGTTTGCACTACATTGAGCATTGAGGTACACCCTTTTGTTGCTGGTTGTGTTGCTACATTGGTTGTACATGCTACCAGTGCACACCAACTGCAGATTCCAACGTGCGGGATTGATTGCACGGTCTGAATCCCAAAGAACCATTTGTTTTGCTCAGGAATCTTTACACGACTTCAAAAACCAGGTCAATGATTCTTTTTCATGGTCTTCGAAGGCTGCCGGGTACTAGCTGCTACTAGCTACCTTGGATTCCCATTTCCACTCTAGTCGCCCGGACTCCGTCTACATCAGGCCCTTCCCCAGCATCCTCCACCTGTCCTTTGTCACTCTCGTGATGGCGGTCCGGACCCCTTTTGGTGTCATGTCCTGCCACCCGAACCCTGCTCGGCGCGGAGAGCAACCGCCCCCCGACCTGTCCGCAGGACGCGCTGCAGGTCTTCCTGGGCGAGCTCCAAAGGACGTCCGAACGAGCGCACGAGCGGTCGACGCGGCGGCGTGGCGCAGAAGACGCGGCGGGTCGGTTCGGGG